AAAAAAAAAAAAAAAAATTCCATATGATTTCACTTATATGTAGAATCTGAAAAAAAAACAAACCAAAAACAAATGAACAAACAAGACAGAACAGAAACAAACTCATAGATAGTAGCTGCCATAGGAGGGTGGGGTGGGAAGATAGATGAAATAGGTGAAGGGGGATTAAGAGGTACAGGCTTCCAGCTATAAAATAATGAAGTCATGGGGCTGTGATGTCCACATAGGGAATATAATCAGTAATATTGTAATGACTTGGTATGATGATGGATGGGAGCTGGTCTTATTGTGGTGACCATTTCATAACATATAAAAATACTGAATCACTGTGTTGTATACCTGAAGCTAATATAACATTCTATGTTAATTATAACTCAGTTTTTTAAAAAAGACTAGCAGAATTTTTATGCAGACTAGTATGATCAGCTTGTGGTATTTTCTACTCTGTAAAAGGCAGGGGAGAAACGAGGAGGATAGCAGGAAACTTGGAAAGGCATCTTTTCTGTCGGAAGGAGACAAGGAGTAGATTGTTCTCTTTGGTTCCCCCTAACTTTTTATTTTGAAATGTTTAAATCTTCAAAAAAAGCGAAAGAAGAGTACGTTTTATATACTCTTCACCTAGATTCACCGGTTTTTAACCATATTTGTTTTCTTTTACCCTCTTCTACACACACGCACACAGAAAATGTCACAACCATTATAACATTTTCATTTCTAAATACTTCAACATGTATTTCCTAAGAAGACATTGTCTGCTTAACCACAGTACTATTTACCAAACCCAAGACGTTTTCAGTTGATACAATAATTTATCTAATGAACAATCCGTATTAATATTTCCCCCAATTATCCCAATAATGTCTTTGGCTTTTTGTTCTTTTTTAAATCTAGGATCCAGTCAGGGCTCCTTTGTTGTATATGTTGATAGTTATCGTGTCCTTTTAATCTTCCTTAAAGAATAGCCGGCCCTTCTTTTGACTTTAATGTCATTATTTTTTAAAAGACCAGGCTGCTTTTCTTATAGAATGTCCCACAGTCCAGACTTATCTGATTTTTCCTTATGATTATATTCTGTTTAATATATTTGAAAAGAAACCTAACAAAGGAAATGCTTTCTATTTCATCACATCAGGAGGCACATAACATCAGTTTGTCCAGCTGTTGATGACACTCAGTTTAATCACTTGGATAAGATGATACTCACCATAATTTTCCATTGCTAAGGTATCTTTTCTCCTTATAATTTAGGAAAATGTGGGGTTGATACTTTAAGACCATGGGAACATTGTTCTCCAACAGCCTTCTCCCAATGGTTTTAGCATCCATGATCCTTGCCTGCATCAGCTGGAGGTGCAAAATTATTTAATTCTGCCTTTACTTCATATTTATTAGGTGACTTTCCTCTGTAAAAAGAGCTTTCTCTCCCTTCACTTTTTGTTTTTCTATTCTGTTTTGTTTGTTTGGGGGTTTTGGGGGGTTTTTTTTGGTATTACTGTAGGCTCAGATTATTTGTTATTCAATATGCTATAGTCCATTATTGTCGTTATTCTTTTTGATATTCAGATTTTCCCAAAGTTGACCAATGAAAGCACCATCAAACCAGCCTCTGTATCATTTTGCCATGTCTCCATTTTTCTTTTCCTTTTGTTCGCCTAACGTATCCTAGAAATTACTCCCTATCAGTTTCTCGAGAGTATCCCCCTTCTTTTTATGGCTTTGTAATATTCCAAATATTGTTTATCATAGTTTATTCAACCAGTACCTTATATGTGCACATTTAAGTTGTTACCAGTATTTTGCTACTACAGATAATGCTGCTGCTTGTGTTTTATATATATGCAGCCTATTCTTTTAAGATAGTATAAATGTTCAAATAAATTGAAGCCTGTTAAGCTAAGAGAATATGGTATTTTACTTTTAACATTTTTCTAATTATAAAAGTTGGTAATACACATAATTCATAAAATTCAGAAAAACAGTCCTGAAATGTATGGAGTTAAAAGTGAAAGTATTCCTTTACACACCTGTATTCCCACCCCTGCGCTATATCTACTCCCCTCCCCCAAACTGTTAACAGTTTGATCTGTAATGCTTCAAACTTTCTTTTGTTGTAATGGGTGGTGGTTTTATTTTTCCATATTTAGCATGTAAACATACATTCAGGGCCAATTTATTTAACGTACAAAAAAATGTGATCTTGCTACAGATGATGTATTATGACCTGGTGTTTTTACTTTATGTGTCTTAGATATATTTTTATGCCCTTACGTATTGAGTTAACTCATTTATTTCAGTAGCTGTATGATAGTTCATAATATGGATTTACCATCGTTTATGTAGCCATTTTCCTATCGATATTTAGATTGTTTCCAGTTTTTCAGTGCTATAGACAACTGCAGTTAATACCCTGGAACATGTCTCTGCCTATGTTCAAGCATTTCTGTAGGCTAGATTCCAGGAGGTAGAATAGTTAATTGTCGTTGATTCACATTTCTGCGGTATCTTCCTGACATCCTTACCAACACTAAGTATCAGCAATATTTTGTATATTTGCCAATACAGTGAATAAAAAAAAAAAAAAAAAAGTAGGGAATTCTCTGGTGGTCCAGTGGTTAAGACTATGCACTCTCACTGCCTGTGGCCTGGGTTCAATCCCTGGTCAGGGAACTAAGATCCCACGAGCTGAGCGGCCAAAAAAAATGAATGGTAACTTATTGTTTTAATTAGCATTTTTCTGCTACTAGGGAGATCTGTTTACTAGTCCATGTTTGTTAGCCACTGATTTCTTCTATGGTTGCTCACTTTTGTCTGTGGGAGTTATTTTTTTTAGTGGAGTTTTTGTATATAGTATCCCTTGCTGTCTGAACTTTTGCTGCCCAAATTCTGGAATTAAATAGATTTGGATAAATGTTTTGAGAAATCCCTTACTATATGTACCCTCGCTACTCTCCATACAAAATCAAATTGTTTCAGATAAAAAGGTGTCACTCACCTTCCTAACTTGCCATCTAAATTTAGACTGTCCAAAATCAGGAATCAAATAGGATGAGATAGAGAGGAAGATTTGTATTCTCATACTGATCTTAGTGTTAACAACTTTTTTCTCCCTGTGTATTGTTTATCTTTTATTCTTGTTTGTATAGTTTTACACAGTAAAAAGTTGTAAATGTTTATGTTAAATATCTGTTGTTTTTCTCTGTACTGGCTTTTGCTTTACTTAGGTTGGCTTTTCCCATCTAAGATTTTTTTTTCTTTATTTTTAAAACTTATTACAGAATACTGAGCAGAGTTCCCTGTGCTATACAGTAGGTTCTTGTTGGTTATCTCTTTTAAATATAGCAGTGTGTACATGTCAATCCCAAACTCCCAGTCTGTCCTTCCCCCCTGGGAACCATAAGTTCATTCTCCTAATTCTGTGAGTCTGTTTCTGTTTTGTAGATATGTTCATTTTAAGATTTTGTAAATCTATTTTATTTTCTTCTATACGATTATTTTTAGAAACACCGGAAGTTTTAGGTATGTGAAATGTATTTTTATGCATAGTCAATTTTATCAACACATTTATAATAACTTATTATCATTAATTTTAAATAGTACCTTTTTCATTTACCAGATTCTTATGTATACAAGGATGTTCCTGCAACAGTACCATACTGGGTTTTTTTGTTTTTTGGGGGGTTTTTTGTGGTACGCGGGCCTCTCACTGTTGTGGCCTCTCCCGTAGTGGAGCACAGGCTCCGGACGCGCAGGCTCAGCGGCCATGGCTCACGGGCCCAGCCGCTCCGCGGCATGTGGGATCTTCCCGGACCGGGGCACGAACACATGTCCCCTGCATCAGCAGGCAAACTGAACCACTGTGCCACCAGGGAAGCCCAGTACCATACTGTTTTAATGATTATTTTGATATCTAGATGAGAGAGTCCCTTGTTCTTTTTTAAATGTTTCTTGTTTATTATTGTTTAATTTTTCTTCCAGTAACATTTTAGGGGGAGAAGTTTCCCTTATCATTTGTGCTTCCTCCAGCAGTGTATGAGAATGTGCATTTTCCCAGGTCTGGGAGAAACTGGCTGGGGATCTGAAGCCAAGGTTAAGACTTGAATAAACCTAGAAAAATTAAAATCAAATCATCTACCCTGTAACCTGGGAGAAATCAAATAGGTTTGTAACACTGTTAAGTGTTACCTAAGTGTGTGTTTAGCGTTAACTCCTTTACCTTCTAGGTGTAACCCTCTCCCCTCCACACTAACCCCTTTCACAGTCATCTCACAGAATTTCATATCACATTACTTGTGTACATCTACTTCCCTCTACCTGGCATTTCTTCTCATTCCCCACCACCTCCCCCCAGCAATCTCACTTTACCCTCCATGTTTTTTGTGTGGGGAAATCTCATTTGTTCCTAAAAACTCAGTTCAGATATTGCCTTTTCTGGGAAGTTTTTCTTCATGCCAACAGTAAGAAGATTGTTCTAATCTTTGTGCCTCATATTATTTCTTCCTAATATTATCATTATCAAACTTTGAGCTGAATCAGGACATATATGCCAAATGCTTTTGAAAAAGAATAAAATATCCCTGTCTTCAGGGAGCATACCAGAGAATGAAAGGGAACACTTTAGATAGAAGAATAATAGGTATGAACACAGATATTATATGTGAATCTTTAAAAAGTCACTAACAGGAGAGCTTTTATATCACTTCCCCAACCTAACCAGGTTTAGATTTTATGGCTTATGTGCTAAGCCTTAGATAAGGTGCTTATACACAAACTGAGACATTCATTTGAATTCCATATGGGATGTGGCATAAGCAAAGGCACAGAGTTAAGACTGAATGCGTCGTTATCATGGGAGTTTCAGACCTGTAAGGAAAATACCAAGAAATGGGATTTCTAATATCTAAATATTCAGTAAAACATTTGGAAAGTAGTAGCCTCCTATAACGTGGATTTGAATTATAAATGAACAAATATTCTGAATCTTTTATTTTTTTCTTCAGTATTGGATGAACGAATACACCTCATCCATCGGAATTGGAGTTTTTCATTCAGGAATTGAAGTATATGGCAGAGGTACGTGTACACACAGTCTAAATATACTTTCTGAAGATTTTTCTCATTTAAAGGAGTTGCAAAATCATGACTGTAGCTCTTCCTTTTTTTTTTTTTTTTAAGTACTTCCATACTTTATTGTAAAAAGTAGAAGAAAATCTCCCCATATTTGTTTATACTGTATTTTGGAAAAATGCCCAAAGTGGAATGTATCTGGGGAGAAAGTACTCAAAGTACACAAGTGTACATTGATTTGGTTATCTTTTATTCTAGGTACTATGTCTTTAAAAATATTTTCCTTTCGAGATTGTTATACTATGACAGTTTTGCTTTAATATGTATTGGCATTCCTAAGAAACCTTGCACTTTGAAAAATAGCGTGATAAAAATAATCATTTTGGTTGGAAAAGGGTTGGTGCTAGAATGTCAAACTTGAAATACCAATTTCCTGAGGGAATTTCAGTAATAAATTTGTTTTTGTAGACCTACAAATATATAAAGTTTAAAAATATTGCTGAGCAAATCCTGCCTTTGATTACATGTAGCATTTTGCTTAAGAATGATGGCCTTTGTCAGTAACTCAGCCCTTTTTATTCTTTATTACCCTTCATTATGATAAACATAACTGGAGCCACTCAAATCAAGCAGCTCTGTTTCAGCAGCTTTTTCCTTTGTTCTAATTCTCTCTTGATACAAGATAATCTCCTGATCAAGTTGTAAGTAGAATGTTCTGCATAAGACAGATCACATTGCTGATTTCATCAAGGTTGTAATAATATACTAGTTTGCATCATAAACTCACCATATAGCAGAAATGCTTTTATTTGCTTCAGCTAGGAAGTCTTTGCTATAATGTTACTGCAGTTTACCCCCAGTTACCCGTGCAGACTACATACCAACTTTAGCTAATACAAAGAAAAGGCTCATTTACTTAAATGTGTCAGTGTGGTGTTTTACTGTCCTTTTTTTATATGCTAAATTAACTGCTTCTAGGTGCAGCGTACCATATTAAATGTTGGCTATAAAGATCTGCCATATAAGCTCCATTTTACCTGAAAGACTGCATCTACCAGATAATTCCAAAAAGCAGTGAGGTTTGTGCTGAAAGTTCCAGTGGTTGGAGTATTGATATGGGTGAAATGGTAGTCTGTGGGTTTGCTCCCTGTTTGATTTGGCTTTTGCCAAAGTTGCGTGTATATTCCCTTTTAACTGAATTTGTATGGTGTGTTACAGTTTTTTTTTTTTAAGTGCCATTGAATTTTGGACCACATGACGACGCTGCTCTGAGGTAGATTGGAGCATGAGACATTTTCTCCATTTTTCAGATGAAGAAACTAAAGCTCAGACCTGCTGAAAGTCATACTGCTAATTAACAGAACTAGGACTTGAACCCAAGTATTCTTATATACTAGTCCATTATCCATTTATCTGCCTAGTCATTGCTCCCATTCATAAAATGACTTAGGAATAATTAGAAACATGGCTCAAAACAGCAAAGCCAGGGCCAAATACATTCCTAAAAGTGAATTATTGCTTCTTGAATAGAAGAATAAGTGGGTCTACAACTTTCCTTACCATAATTGAGAAAGTTGAAAATCGAAATATGATCTTCCCACGTCTAACCTTATGTACAGTGTTTTATAAAATTCTATCATTAAATTTTTAATGTATGTTTTAGAATTAAATGCTAAATACTTTCTTATTCTACATTATTGCTTTTTTTTCCTGAAAGGTCTGAATCAAAAGTAAATGTATTGTAGAATTGCCTTTTTCTTTCCCATGCTTTGTTCTGACCTTATAAGATTGTGTTTAAAAAATTTTAAGTGACAAGATTAATTTAAGCATTTGTTTGGAATTCTTTAAGTAAGTCTACTACGATTTGCCACTTAAATATCGAAGTATCTAGTCCCAGAATTGTAGCCAGAAATTTTATTTCCTTCCTGATTTGAAACCGTTCTGAATGAGAGTTTGTATCTGATGAGGCTGGATGTACATTCACTGTAGTACAAGTAGCTCTCTCCTAGCTTATAGATGTACTGTGGAAAGTGTGTGTGTCTTTATGTGTGTGTGAGTGTGTATGTTAATTTTGCAGCTTATCTTTTCTTGAATGAGGAGAATTGAATTCAGTTTTTCTGGTTTGCTAATGTTTTTTCTCTCTTACTCAAAGATAAAACAAGAGTCTTCATCTCAGGAACCATGAAAACTCATTGTTAATTAGACAGTTTTTCCAGTAAAGTCCAGGTTTGAAATTTGATCACTTTAATTTAGAAAATGGCAAAACACAGAACTGACCACCCACATACTTTGGCGTGATAGGTAAACGCAGGGACTTTTTTCACCTTTGAGTGTTAGCCAGTCTCCTCTAGCCAATATAAAGTAAATATAGAAGTCAGGATTACCTTTGAGCGTCTTTTTGTTATTAGAGTTTCAAGTCCTTTACGTCAACTGTTCTATACAAGTAATAGGTAAATAAGATGTTTGTGAAAGCATTACTAAATTGAAAAATATTTAGATGGTATCATTATTATCCTCATCATTTATTAAATATGATTCAGCATACTGGTTAAGTTTTATGTGATAAATACTAAAAATCATGAGTTTTCTCTTTTCAGAATTTGCTTATGGTGGCCATCCTTACCCCTTTTCTGGAATATTTGAAATTTCCCCAGGAAATGCTTCTGAACTAGGAGAAACATTTAAATTTAAGTAAGTAGGGAGGATAATTTTTATTACACTGTCTTAGATGCCAAAGCTTGTTTTCAGGCATACAGAATTCATTCTGTAGATTAAAATCTAGGAACTTTAAATGTTTCTTTACTGTTGTTTTAGTTGCAGACACTTTAAAATCAAATCTAAATTGTTGTGTAAAGATAATAATCAGGCAAATAAAGTGCCTGAAATAAGCAAGTCTGTTGCTCTTATTCAGGACCCACAAAAGTTACTATGTCTACTTTAAAAGTGTTTTTACCTGGTATAAGATTCTGCTTTAGAAAACATTTCCTATACAATGACTGCTTCCCCTCAGTCTCCTATTTGGGGGGAGATGGAGGAAAGTTTTATTGTGACCTACTTAACACTCTTAAAAATCTCTTCATTTTCCCAATGAAAGGGACACTGTTTACAAGCTTGAAATAACTAAACTAAAATAATTTGAATAGATTAGCCAAGAAACTGTTGTTAAGGTATGTGTATTATATGTATTGATAAACCTAAAATTATGGATCTGAGTGTACTGTGGAGCCTTATGTGTAGTAAACAGCACTGAAAACCTGAATGCTAATAATCAAATTTCCATTCCTTAATTGAGTTTAGTATTTAAAGTGATATTTAGAATCTTAGTTTCAAGGAACTTTAAAGAAACTTCTGGACCTATAATAGTTAACTTGCCAAAGTGAAAAATAGGGAAATGAGGTTATAACATTGAAATTCAGTATAGGGTTGTATCTTTTTATCACTACTGAGTTAATGATTCTCTTAACCTATAACTAATTTGAAATATTTACACACAGAAGTGCTATAATGACAGCCTGAATCCATTCCTTAGGTCTCCCTTTGGTCAAAACTGCTAGATAAAAGGATTTTCTAAGTATTGTCAGCTTTCTTGGATCCCTGACTTGTATCTGACTAAAATTCTACTCTCTATTGAATGATGTCTATTGCATTTCCAGGGTAGTAGTTTGGGAGTGGTGGCGGGGCTGGTTGCTTTTTTGGTTTGGTGTATTGTTTTTTTGGTTTGGTGTATTGTTTTGGAAGGTTTTGGGTTTATAATGCTTTTTTAAAAATTAGTCATTTGACAGTCATCTCACTGCAGCCAAGTGGCAGATAACTTAAAAGATTATTTCTAAGTGAGAATATGACCAGCCATTTTTGATGGTGAGTGTAATTAAGCAAGAATATTTGCAGCATGGATCTGGTTCTCTAATAATGTAACTGCTAATGTAATAGTAATAAAAATAACTGTGATATTATATTTTTAATATGACACTGTTTAATAAAGAAAATGACTTATTTTGCATTTGTATTATTTAGAAGTGGTATACTTAAGAGTTTATTGCTTTTAAAAAGTAGAAAATAATCGAAATTATTAAAATACCTCATTTACCTTTTAGTCTTCTCACAGTAACCCTGCTTTGTTACATCAGTCATAATATTCCTGGCAATAAGCATTTCTGGAAATGAGTCTTTAAGCATGCCTATAATACCTGTAACTCACGCAGCTATATTCTTTTTTTTTCTTTTTTCTTTTTTTTTTTTTTTTTTTTTTTTTTTAAAGAATGTTGTTTTAGGGAGCACCGACTTCCTAGAAGATGATATAGAGAAAATTGTAGAAGAATTGGGAAAAGAATACAAAGGCAACGCTTACCATTTGATGCATAAAAACTGCAACCACTTTTCTTCGGCTTTATCAGAGGTAAGTTAAATTTTATTCTAAAAGTTCTTCAAATAAATAACACTAGTATATTTACTGTCCCACTATATTTAATCAATTATTTTTTTCTGATTATTTATGTTATATAATATTTGGTATTTTATTTCTTTTATATGAGTGACCTTTCCAAAGTTGGTAACTTTAGAGTCAGCACAGTTTTAAACTGTAATTCTGTTCATGACTTTGCAGTGAGTAGAGTGAATACAGTAACGGGTCTCTTCTTACTCTAATTTGTTTCATCACAATCTTATATTTTCACTTAAAAATTAATGCCTAGGGGGTTGGGGAAGAAAAAAATAAAAATAATAAAAAATTTAAAAAATTAATGCTTAAGTGACTTCTGCTTCTTGGCCACTATGATTTCTCTTTTCCTAAATTTTAGTTGCCAACTTGAAATTTTTCTGGCTCTTAATTAATAAGTAATTCATTTCTCCTATCTTGAAATTTTACTCTGCCAGTTTATCACACACACACTTATTTGCCTTCCCAGTTCTTGAAGGCCAAGCAGAAAACCAAAAGTAGATCCAAATTAAAGGACTTTAAAAAAGAAAATGACGGGAAGAAAGCAAAAGATTATAAAATAAGGTCTGGAGAATTAAATAGCGCTTGAAACAGCTTCCCAGCTTTCTGACCCTTAGCAGATGGTTGCAGAAGCCACATCAGGTACCACAGAAATTGTGAAATGTGTAAAAGAGAAAATGAGCTGCTGCTTCAGTGACCTCCTCTGCAGAGCTGCTTAGCTACCTGGCCCTTTTCACTGCCCTCATGGCTTCCACAGCATAGGTTTCAAACAGGACTACAGCAGACTGCTGCTGTGCTTCTCAAATTATTTTTTGAGGACTGGCGGCATTAACATCACATAGGAATTTGTAAGATATACATTATCTCTACCCCACCATAGGTGTACTGAATCAGAATCTTCATTTTACCATGATCCCCAGATGATTCATAAAAGTTGGAGAAGCACCCACTAGTCTAGTGGGTGCATTGATACCGCAGAGGTGACCAAGTTGATTTTCAAGGAAGAGAGAAGGTAGTTCTAAGCTTTCTTGACCCTAGACATTACATTTGTAGGAAATGCATTCAAAGATCCGTAGAATGTTAAAATTAGCAAAGGTTTTAGACAGCATCTAATCTAGTCTCCTCATTTTATAGACTAAGTAACAGGCCCTGATTGGGGAAATGACTTACCAAGATTGTGGAGAACTCAGATTAGACCCAGACTGCTTAGTTCAGTGCTTGTTATATTTTATCGTTACCTTTTCTGGTCCCAACTTATCCTCTCTCCCAAATAAATTACTAGCTTTATTGAGCATCTGTAAAACCACCTCAGCCCTGGTCTAACCCTAAAACCATATTGGAGTTGAGTGCCTGAAGAACAATTCTAGATGTCCCTGGAGCCGTCTTTTTAGGTCACAGTTTTCCTGCTTTCACCCGTGTGAGTGCTGAATTGTTAAAGAAACAGACTCAGAAGTTAGGGGACTTAGCCTAGCGTAGCGAGCTTGTTAGTGACAACTGAGACTAGAATTCTGGATAGTGAAGGAGGTAAGGGGCTATTTTTAGTAAACATATAATCAAGGCAAAAAAAATTAATGTTAGGCACTCTTAAAAAGTTATTAAATCTAATGTACTTCTACATCTTTGACAACATAGTTTCTACATGTGTCGTATAACCAGTTGCAGATAGAAAACCATAGCTAATTATAAATGATTGTTGATATATGTACTCTGTTATTCAAAATTGTTCCAAAAATTCTAAGAAACATCATAGTTATCATTGCAGATGCTTCTCTACAACAAGGATTAGCAAACCACTACAACCTGCACACCAGTACCAGCCTACCACCTGTTTTTGTATGGCCTGCAAGCTAAAGATGGTTTTTACCTTTTTAAAGTTTGTTTGTTTGTTTGTTTATTTTTGGCTGCATTGGGTTTTCGTTGCTGCGTGCAGGCTCTCTCTAGTTGTGGCGAGTGGGGGCTACTCTTCGTTGCCGTGCGCAGTCTTCTCATTGCGGTGGCTTCTCTTGTTGCGGAGCACGGGCTCTAGGCGCGTGGGCTTCAGTAGTTGTGGCTCGCGGGCTGTAGAGCGCAGGCTCAGTAGTTGTGGTGCATGGGCTTAGTTGCTCCGTGGCATGTGTGATCTTCCCAGAACAGGGCTCGAACCCGTGTTCCCTGCATTGGCAGGCAGATTCTCAACCAGTACACCACCAGGGAAGTCCCGATTTTTACATCTTTAAACCGTTGGGAAAAGGTCAAAAGAAGAATATATAACATTTATAAATTATGTGAAATTCACATTTCAGTATCTGTTAAAATCTGACTGGAACACATCCGTACTCATATTTTTAACCTATCATCTTTACTGCTTACAGGCTGCAGCAGCAGAGTTGAGTAATTGTATCAGAAACCAAATGGTCTGTGGAGCCTAAAATATTTACTGTTTGGCTCTTTATAGATAAAGTTTCCCAGCCCCTACACTACAGGTCAGATGCATTCGAATCTGATTCAGATTGACTTAAACAATGAGGAAATATTTTATCTCACAAAACAAGAAGTCCAGGATAAGGTGGACTCCATGTCAGTATGGTCAGTGTCTCAACTGTGTGTCACCAGTGGCCTAAGGTCTTTTTATCTCTCTGAGCTGCCATCCTTAGGGTGTTAGGTTGGCTCTGCCCTCAGACTAGCTCCCTTTATGGTTTTCAGGTAGTTGCAACAATTTTCGGCGCCATATCCTGATACAGCAACATCAAGAGAAAAAAGAAAGCTCTGTCTCTCCCCTTACTTCTCTCTGAGAAACTGAGACTTTCTCCAGAACCTCCCACCCTTTCCAAAGCAGGTCATGTTTCATGGCCAGAATTGGGTCGAATGCCATTTCTAAACCAGTCACTAGCAAGAAGAATGGCATTGCCGTTACTAAATGCCACTGGCCTGAATACCTTCTGTAAATTAATATTTTCAGTGGGAAATTCCAAACCTGAATAAAAGTAGAGAGAATAGTATAATGAGCCTGATACACGTATCACTTAGCTTCAAAAATTATCAACTCATGGCTAATTTTGTTTCACCCATAAATGCCCACTCCAAAATAACACTGATCCCTAGATTACTTTGAAACAAATCCCAGGTGTTATTTCATTTCAGTTGTAGATAGTTTACTTTGTAGCTCCGAAGATAAAGATTTTTTTAACATAACTACAAATATTATCAACCTAAAAAAATTAACATGCATTCCTTAATACAATGCAAATATACAATGTTGAAATTTTCCCACTTGTCATAATTTTTTAACAGTTTGTTTGAATCAGGATAAATAAAGGCCATACCTCCTTGTTACCATGAGGTTCAGTCCGCATAGGAAAGGTAGGATAGATGTCTTGATTCTTTTCCATTACTTAACAGTCTTCAGAAAAAGAATTGGTTCCTGTGCTGTGCAGAGAAAAATTAACATAGCAGAGGGCTTTACTGTTAGGAAAGCATATTGTGAAGAGAAGGCCAAGGGTGTGACTGGATAACCTTTTGCTGCTGCTGAAGAGATTAAACATGTGACTGGTGGATCCTCTCAGCCATCTCAGTGGAAATCAGGAATAGAAATGGGATTCTCCAGGAAGGATCTGTAGAGGAACCTCTTATCCAATAGAGTGAATCCCACAGGAGACTCAACATTTTTGAGGATGTTATATTAGCAGAAACACTGCCAGCTTGGACTGAAAGAGGACAGAATGAAAGATGACTGTTAGATTCCGAAATTTCTCAGGCAGTAAACAGCCTGGCGAAAAAGGGTAATTTCAAGGGCCCAGACGACAGAACTGAGGGCTGCAGAGGATTAGTCCCAGGCCTTGAAACCTAATGGAGGTTGCCCAGCCAGATTTTGAAGTTGCTTGGGGGGCTTCCCTGGTGGCACAGTGGTTAAGAATCCGCCTGCCAATGCAGGGGACACGGGTTCCATCCATGGTCTGGGAAGATCCCACATGGCTCAGAGCACCTAAGCCATGTGCCACGACTACTGAGCCTGCACTCTAGAGCCCACAAGCCTCAACTACTGAGCCTGCATGCTGCGACTACTGAAGCCCGCGCCTAGAGCCCATGCTCCGCAACAAGAGAAGCCACCACGGTGAGAAGCCCACACAACGCAATGAAGAGTAGCCCCCGCTCACTGCAACTATAGTGCAGCAACGAAGACCCAGTGCAGCCAAAAATAAATAATAAAATAAATTTTTAAAAGGAAATTGCTTGGGACTAATGATTCCTTTCTTCCTACCACGTTCTCCCTATTAGAATGGAATGTCTATAACTTACTCTGTGCCGGTCCACCGTTATATTTGGGAGGGCATCCTACACACACTTTGTTTTTTTAACTTAACATTGTACCATGGAGTTTATTCTGTAACAGTATATAGAGATAGTCCTCATTTCTTTTCACAGCTAAATGGTCCTCCTTGTTTGTGCCAAAATGTATTCAGTCAGTTTCCTATTAATGACATTTGGGTTATCTTTAGCCTACAAAAAAGTGCTGTAATGAATAACCCTGTGCATACCTTTTTTCATATTTTTGCCAGTGTGTCTCTGGAATAAATTCCTAGAAAGAGGGATTACCAAGGTGAAGCTTAAATGCAAAAGTAACTTCGTTATATGAATCAAGTATTTTTTGACCACTGCCTACAGTAAGAAATATATCTTACATCATGATCCAGATATGTACACATAACTAAAACAAGTGTCACAATTACCCTAGTATCTACAGTCTATTTCATTTTAAGAATTCAAGTTAAAATGCTAAAGTTACTAATGGATCTTGACTCAAAGTTTAAAAAACATTGGCTTGATCACGGATCTGCACACTTTTTCTGAAAGGGCCATATAGTAAATATTTTAGGCCTGTGGACTATTCCTGGACTCCGCTCGGCCATGGTAGCCCAAGAACTGTAGGCCATAAAAAAAAAAAATGAAGGGGCATAGCTGTGTTGCAATAAAATTTTACCTATAAAAACAGGTGGCTTTAGTTTACAGACCTCTGTTTTAGGTTAATCAAGCCGCCTGCAGGTGTTGGGATGAAGTCAGCTTCCTGTGAAGCACATTGATATATGGAGGAAGGCAGATGACTGAGTGAAACCAGGGTTTAGGAAGGAGAATGAAGAGAACAGCTGCTGCATAGTCAGCAATGGCTTATTACATTAACCTCACTATTCCTAGTCACCACTCTGTGGTAACCTTCAAATATACATGTAATATAATGTAATACTTGTTTGCCTGTGTTTTTTAGAATAGACAGATGGGAATGGTATAATAATATAAGGTCATTGCTCAGCTTTCCCCCAGATCTAATTCATTTACATTCTTCAGGTATTTTTAAGTACTGTCTACCTCTCTGTGCTTCCAGGCCGGGTAATCAGAAATGATCAAAACATGCCACCCTCCCTCCATTGAGACCACCGCCTAGCCCTGTAGTTAAGACAGAGACATAGTATTTAAATGTAGCCCTTAAGGCATAGGGCTAAACCTTTAGGGAGAAAAGTTATATTGCTTGATTACAGGTGCCAGCTTATTTACATTTTAGCTAATTTTTGGATGTAAGATACTCTGAAACCAACTAAGCTAAAATAGATGGTACTTCCAGATCATAATTATAATGATTATAATCTTTGACATGATTGGAGGCAAAAGCACCACAGGGACAATAAAGCGTGGATTAGTTAACCCTAGTTTTGACTGCGGAAGGAAAGGAGGATAATAAAGAGTAGAGTTGGTATTATAAAAGACCTAGTTCTTATTTTTTGCACTTGGGAAAAGAGGGGGCTTACAAGTCCTAAGAACAGGATAAGGATGAGAAGTGCCTGGAGCTTCTGTTACTTGAATAGTATCTTGTATTAACAAGTCTTCTGTGTGTTCAAAATACTTCTGCAACAAAGACCAAAGAAAGGAGCCAAATGGAATTAGCTTGATTTTATAGCTGTAAAAAGTAAGCACCTTAACAAAGTTCTTCAGAAGGGAAGGGATGGAGCTGACAGTAGGGGGACCCCAGGCTTCCGAGATAGGGAGCTGTTTGTCGTCAAAGGCCGGAAGTAACAGCACCAAAGGCTAATGCGCAGTGGCCTTTTTGTATGTCCTCCTCCCTCCCTGACCCTCCACTCCTTGGCAGCTGACCAGATAACCCTAACCTCTCACCTAATACTACACTCTTTATCCTGTAGATTCTTTGTGGGAAAGAGATTCCTCGCTGGATCAATCGGCTTGCCTACTTCAGCTCCTGTATACCCTTTCTCCAGAGTTGCCTCCCAAAGGAGTGGCTCACTCCCGCAGCCCTGCAGTCTAGCGTCAGCCAAGAGCTCCAGGACGAACTGGAGGAAGCGGAGGATGCTGCAGCCTCCGCTTCCATGGCCAGCAGTGCCGCAGGCTCCAGACCCGGGCGCCACACTAAACTGTAAATGTCTCCAAAGTCACACATTCAGAACTGTCTCTGGCAGTTGAATATCACTAGAGAAGAGTAAAAGAGTAAATGTCCTTTGGATATTTTGTATGCAAAGATGGCTCTCCCCCAAATCCCAGTTTTTCAGCTCAGGATTATATTTGTAATCAAAAAAAAAAAAATCACTTGGCGCAGGAGGGAGAACTTTGTATGAAGCTGCCCTCTGTCTTTTTTACCCACTTGTAAATTTGGATTTACTTCTGTTTTATATAAGCTCTGTTAAGTTATGTTTACAGTATTTTGTATCGCTGTTTACAAATCTTGCATGGACTCCTGCCACCATGAAAGAAGAAAATCTTCGTGTCTTCAAAAATTAGGCAGGTAATCTTTGTACACTTCTGACAATTGCCCGAGCTTCGGCATAAATAATAGGCACACAAGAAGGTACTTACACAGTTATAGTCACCATCACCTGCTTAAGAATTGTCTTTTAGGTTTGTGTTTGTTTTTGTTACCATTTTGGTGCCAGGGTGCACAGAGGTGAAGGAGCACACACAGCCCTGAGGGCTTGGGACCTTGATCTGCGTGAGAGGTGCCCAACCCTGGGCGCTCAGCACTCCCTCCACTCCAAGTGGTACATCTCCTGAGGTTCCCACCGAACGGTGGCTTTCATCCCAAATATCTGGCCACCTCCACGGGGTGGTATACTCTCGTGTCAGTCTGGCTTTGATGCCTCTGATTGTGTAAGTAAGATGTTTTTCGTTAAAGGTATTCTTACTAGTTACAAGTGTTTTTGCACATGTGTTGGGGGCTTCATTTTTATTTTAATATATATTGATATCCTCCCTGCACAGGATTTTGTTTGTGGGGCAGGAATATCCTAAGTGGTAGCCTTCTGAGTAGCAGTGTGAGTTGACATTCAACTGCTTTTAACTATTCAGGCTACCTTTTATACTACACCTTGAAAACCAGAGTCTAAGTAACACTCTCCAAAAAGTTAATACTTTGATATTTTAAACATTTTATGTACCATACCAGAAAGAGTATGTTGCAGTTTGTTAGTTTGTTATGGGAGTAGTTTCACCTCATAATAGAAAGCTTAGTCTCAGTGACCTCTTGTTGAAAACTCATATTTATGTGTCTTATTCATCTTTTTCTGTTCTCTCAAATGTATGTCTCTTACATAACCTACTCGAAGAATGAAATTGTCACCACAGATAAGTCCTCATTAGCAAGGAATCTGTCTGCTCAAGTCTACTCCCAGTTTGACCCTTGGATGTAAGAGCCAAGTCATTACATGTCAAATTCAATTTTTCTGCCTTAAGAATGAATGTTCTACATAAACTATTGGCTGCAGTGTATAAATTATCCAAGGCAGTGACTTCAGCTTTATATATATACATCTCGTTAGTTTTAAAATCATCTACTTTTATTTAAACTTCTAGATTGGATTGTTTGCTTTTGCTCTTTGTAAGGATACATATCTTTCAGTACACTACATTTTTAACTTTTCCATAAGCTGATTTTGAGTCATTTTATCAAATTAAGCACACCCTGTTCATAAGGAAAATAAACCTTGGGTTTGACCTGAGGAAAATGAAGCCACTTAACCTAATTTATGCTTTTGACTGTTCTGTTGCTGGAGAGGAAAGCTTTTACAAATTATTCTCAGTTCTTTTTGGGGGGGCGGGCAGAGCACTTGTTTTAAGAGATGTGACAGAAAGGAATCTATGATCTTTATGAAAAGTTGACCTGATTCAGGTCTAAAAGGGAGATTTAGAATAAAATGCGAAGACTCTTGACAGTGAATCAGTTCACTCAAAGAAGAGTCCTATCACTAAAACCCAGGTTAGTGAAAAATGTTTGATGCCATTCGCTTGGGATTTTTTGTTTTTAATAATGTGGTGGATTCCAGTTTTTTCTAATCCATTCAAATAGACATGAGTTTAAATCTGTGCTACAGACACACGTGAAGGAGTGGCCATTATTTAGGCACTTCTTGGCGAGTAGCCAAGAGCCTTCCACCTTTGCTTATCCAGAATCCAGTGCCTCAGCACACAAATGATTTTGTTATTTTGTTGTATTGACTTTCATCTGCAGCATTTGGAGTTTAAAAATAGTGTTAAGGTCCTAGTAAAAATAAATAATGGCCCTGAGGTCAATTATCATGGAACCACCAGATAAAATTCTGGACGTGAGATTGCTTGCAGTCTAATGGTACTTGAGGTTGAGAAATAAAGAAATGTCTTTATCTTAGAAAATCTCATTTAAATCAGTTTGTCCACTACAGTTCAAAATTGAGGGTGAATTCAATTAACTAGCATTTCACCAGCTTTCCCTTGCCCTTGGAGGAAAAGAATCTTGTTCTCAACCTGATCTCTGTTAAGAAAAATCCTATATAAAAAATCCAGTCATTAAGATACATGTGATATGATGGCATCAGATATTCTCTTCGTAGTTGTAACCAAGTGAAACCCATTTCTCATTGTGGGTTGGACAGTAATATAGTGTTAAGAGGATCAGAAGCTGCTGGTTTCTACTGTTTGTTTTCAGTGCCCTTGGGTTTTGTTTTTTCTTTCTTTCAACCCTAGGAAAGGGGCATCAGCTTTGGAAAGTGTGGCCTGTGGAATGGTAGAAGGCAGTGGTACAGCAGTAAAGAGAGCCTCCACTTTATGCCTGAAATCCAGCCCACTATTGTTCTGACCCACGGCAATAGTGCAAGTTACCTTCACCAGCATTTGTACATAGCAGGGAATTCTGGTTTTCACCAATTGATAGCATTGTGTGTATGAGGAGATTCAACCCTACAGGCAGCTGCGGGACTCTATATCCATGGCTTCTTTCCATCACAAAACGGGTAGAAACTCATTCACTGCTTCAGGGTTCTAATCTGTGTGTCTTCTAATGGGTCCATTTCTATAAGATACTCTGTAATTTTGATACATGCTGTATTTTCTTTCAGTGACTAAGTTTAAAAGGCTTGGGTTTTGTCCAGCAAGCTGGCCATACTGCCATTGTACCCCTTTCCTTCAGTATGGTTTAGAGTGCAACTCAGTCATTAGACTTTCATTGTCTGCTCAGTCAGTACACATCTTCACTGTTTGAAAGGTGTTACAGCTGTTCAAGAATCTTCATGAACCTGAGGATAATTTCTTGTGAAGTTGAATGCAAATGTACTGTCATTCATAGTGTTTATATATTAAAAAAAAAAAAATACCAGGAATCTTCACTTTTGCTACCTTGATATAGCATTGGGCTATCATGTTAACAACATTGAAATACATCAATTTATTAAAAAATACTTTTATAAGAAATGTTTTATAGTGCTTTTTGACCTCCAGAAGACTGCAAATGTTATATATTTGTGTTGGGGAGGGGTACTTTTGTTTGATATTTTTTTATTTTTATACAGTTTTAAAGGTTACACTCCATTTACAGTTATCACAGAATATTGGCTTTATTCCCTGTGTTGTACAGTAGGTCCTTGTAGTCTGTCTCACACCCAATAGGGAGATTATTTTTGAAACCCAAGAATCCCATCTGCTCTGCAGAAATGTAGTCTGCCCTTCTCCATCATACATTTCTCTTGTATTTGCATGTACATTTACTCCCATGTATTCCCCTCGAGCTCAGGTCCACCGGCCAAGTCCTTAACTGTCAGAGAGCATAACCACACCTGCTCCCAGGCAGCGGTGCCAGCCCCAGCTTCTGGGGGATGGAGACAAGGCCGGGAAGGGAGAACATGCCCTCTTCTCTCTGCCAGGAGCGCAGGGGAGAGACCTGCAGGGGAATTGCCCCCACTGCTCGTGCACACACACTCCCCATCTAGAAGCATCAAGCAAGCAGGCGCCTGGGTGACTGCGCACCTTGTTTTTTACAAACCTAGTCTGCTTTGCACCTCCAACCTGACCCTTACCCCGTCTCCATTGGCCTTTTGGTACCTAGCCAAGTAATATTTCCTTCCACAAACTCAAAAGACCTCTCGGATTAAGTATTAAAAAATAGGGCTTCCCTGGTGGTGCAGTGGTTGAGAGTTCGCCTGCCGATACAGGGGACGTGGGTTCGTGCCCCGGTCCGGGAAGATCCCACATGCCGCGGAGCAGCTGGGCCCGTGAGCCATGGCCGCTGAGCCTGCGCGTCCGGAGCCTGTGCTCCGCAACGGGAGAGGCCACAACAGTAAGAGGCCCGCGTACCATAAAATTAATAATATAATAATAATAATAATAATGGAGGGGCTTCCCTGGTGGCGCAGTGGTTAAGAATCTGCCTGTCAATGCAGGGGACACGGGTTTGAGCCCGGGTCCGGGAAGATCCCACATGCCGTGGAACAACTAAGCCCAAGCACCACAACTACTGAGCCTGTGCTCTAGAGCTCGCGAGCGACATCTATTGAAGCCCGCGTGCAGCAGCGAAGATCCAACGCAGCCGAAAATAAATAAGTAAAAATAAATTAATTTTAAAAAATAATAATGGAGGTCATTTGTGGTCTGTCAATGCCTGTCCACTCTCTGCTAAGTAGGAATGGTCTACAACTCATTTGTTCTCAAGGACAGGAGCCGAAGGGGAATTTTTCCCCCAGTCTACATAGGTTTTTGATAGACTATAACAAGTTGATCACCAACTCAAATCTGGTAAAGCAACTGGTTTTACCTGTAGAAAGGATACCAAATACACTGAGGGACAATGGTTTTTTCTTTCCCATTATTATCTGTTCCTGAAGTTCTTATCACCCAGATACGGACCTTGTTCTAAGTGTGCAGAAGTCCACGCTAATAAAGATGAGTGGCTCCAATGCTCTGCATTCCAAGAGGTAGATTAGAGGCAGGCAGCTACTTATTTCCTTATGGATTCTAAACCCAGAGAACTGCTGAGCCCTCTCAAGCTTGTCCCTTTGATCCTTTCCACAAAAGGAAAATCCTCCCAAAGAGGATCATACCTTGTTCCTACACTGGGAAGTGTGAAGACTTCATCTTGTCAAGGCCAAGGGACAAGCTAAGGTTAAGCGGGGCCTCCTCTCAA